CCCCAAAACCCCAAAACCCCAAAACCCCAAAACCCCTTAATTTATATTTTAATTGAACAATGGAGTGATTTTAGAGATTTCTATTGCCAGGTTTTTCGACACTCCTTGCTCTTCTTTTCTTCTTTACTCTAAAGGTGGACTTCTTGTTACTTTCATAGTACCCAAATTCGCTTGGAAGTTTGTACATTCCTGGACCAGGCATGTCCTTCCTCTTGCCAAGAGTTGAGATAGTATCCCTGTTGTAATGATAGAAAGTTCTGCAGTTTGAGGATTTAAATTTGGATAAGAAATAATTTCCATCTTTTGAGATTGATGAAGCAGGGCTGTACTCACCCGGTCCAGGAAACTTCACTGTATTCCTAGAGAACATCTTGAATCTCTTTGAGTTAGGAGGATTGAATAGAGCGCATTTAGAGCTTGTGAATTTGGAATTAAAGTAATTACCCTTCTGGTTAATAGAATTTGGTGGCTCATAAGCTCCTGGTCCAGGCATACTAGCGCTGTGTCTCAAGGTATTATCCTTCAATTTTGGCTTAAGAGTCAAATGCAATCCTTCTTTTCCTCATCTTTCTGGAATGTCATAAGTTCCTGGCCCTGGGACTGATTTATCAGCTCTGACATCACCTTTATTATACATCTTGGTGTATGAACTAGAAAAACTTTAGAAAAATTAAAAAATTATTAGAAAATAGGAAGATCAATTTACCTAAAGGGCAACCCGAAAGTAAATGCTTTGTTCTTAGGTGTGTTTGAAAATTCTGTTGGAAGCTAGAAGATATTACACAAAGAAAGACCTACATTATAGGCTCCAGGATCTGGACCTGGTTTCTTCTTCAGCTTTGTGCTCTTATTTCCAATGCCAAAGCTTGCCTTTCTGGTTGACATAGTAGAAGGAAGACTAAGGGTAAACAACTTCAAACTCACTCATATCCTATGTTTTGGTTCAGAATTTTTGGGTTATATCCAAACCTTCCTGCTTTAGGAAATGAATAAAGCTGTTTGGCCGTAGAACTATTAGTTGGTGCTCTATTAATCTGCTCACAGTTTGAAACGGTGAAAGACATCAATGAAATAAAATCTTAATTAATATTTTCTGCAAAAAAATTTATAAAGGGGTTTTGGGGTTTTGGGGTTTTGGGGTTTTGGGGTTTTGGGG